TCATCATCATCTGCTTTATTATCAGCATCCTAGTCATTACAGCCTTAATCATCATCCTCATCATCCTTGTCATAGTCACCATCATCGCCACTATTATTATAATCGTCACCATAACAATCACCATCTTTTTCTACTTTTCAACCATCATATTAATCACCACCGCCATCACCGATAATATCATCATCACTATCGTCATTGCCACCATCGCGATCAGTATTACCATCGTCACAATAATCATCATTTCCTTCTTCTTCCTTATCATTATCATATCCACCATTTTCACCACAACTGTCGTCCCCATCATCGCCATCGTCATCAGCATCGTCCCCATAATCATAATCATCATCTTCTTCTTTATCACCATCATCATCATCGCCATCTTCATTGTAATCACCACGACCATAATCAACAGCATCATCATCGCCATCAGCATTATTATTGTTACTACCATCACTCCAACCACAAACATCATCATCATCATCATCATCATCAGTATCATTATGATCATTTCAATTGGAGCTTCGATAGCAGTCTTCGAATGTCTCTGTAGTCTGTCTTTACCATTTGTGGAGCTCGAACTTGCAATCGACACTTTGAAACCAGAGCCGCCTGCCGATGGCGAGTGGACGAACAGGTCTGGCTTTTTGTGGTAGACTGACTGGTATGGCGTCCTCGTATGACGCCGGGATCGACAACTGAAAAGCCATTTGTCAAGCTTTGCTGGGGTGGCTGACAAAGGGGATCTTATGCTGTTGCCTTCAGTCGTCGTATGGACTTGCATACACCAACTATGATGCAGTCTCATTCGACTGTATGGTATGGTTGAGTTCTGTGCAAAAATCACACTAACTTCTTCCTCTTTTGAGACGTCTAGACTTGCGCTGTACAGCAGTTAAGAGAAAACATGCGGGCTCCCATTTCATGCACAACCGTCGGCCTAAACGTGCACAGTTCGAGTCCCGCTTTCTGCGAGGCGGACCAATGGGCACTTCTTTATGCATGGTACTTGCTTAAATGGTGATAATCTGCCTCAATTGTGTGGTGCAATCAACCACCCAACTCGTAGGTCTGTAAAGGCAGCATATCTTCCATTCGGGTCAAAGTGTGGTTCAGACTCGACCAACTTAACTACTCGTCCTAGCCGGTAACAAAGGGTATGGCTCGGGCCGGATTACGCGTCCCCTTTGACCTACAGATCCCTCCGCACACGCACAAGTACACACAAACACACACACACACATACAAATGCACACATACATTCTGGCAGTAGCCGACCTCGGAGGGTCCTGTGTGGGATAGGTCTGGTTGTCAGGCCACTTGGACTGGCGGCAACGGTTAAAAGCTATTCCGATGACGTGTAGAGGTCATTCTAATGACGGCCAGTCTGACAGAAAGCGAGTCAGGCAGTCAAGGCAACAATTGCATCTCTTATTTCATCTCCCCACCCCCACCCCTTTTCGACCAGACTTGGTACCATCGGCCAGAGATTCAGTCTGCCAATAGCCCCGGCCAGTCCCACCATCCCACAGGCCCAGAAGGCAACACACCCACTATGTCTGTTGGCTGCGGGTTGCATCCTCACCAGGGCCTGTTCCTTCCAACTGGGATTCACACACAATAGTTCCCCGTCTCGGTCTGTGTGTGTGTGTGTTTGTGTCTGCTTGTTGTCGCCGCCTACACCAGTTTTCGTGGGCTCAATGACGAGTGAGCAGCAGTGCGAACATGTAGGATACATGTCGGCTCTGCGATCGGAGTCAAATCAGACACACACACACACACGCACGCAAGCCTACGACTTGATACAAATGCTGTGATTTATTAGCGCGTCAGGAGGCTGACGAAGAAGGAGGATCCGAGTTTGTCCTGCCTGGAGAGCCATTGTAGACATGTCACCGCCGAGTGGTTATCGGAGGCCAATCAAACGGTACGACAGACGAAAGATGAGTCCACATCTTCACTGGTCGACCAACTTAGTTACGCGTCATCGTGACCAAACTCATACACACATTAAGACACACATACACATACACATAAAAGTTCGCATAGACGACAATAGCGTATGAATAAAAACTGGGTTTTAAAGAGTGATATATTATGACATTAGGTTCCATTTCAAATGAAATGTTTATTTAAAGGAATTCGTGAATTCGTCGTACCGGAAACCGAGGCACGATTGACTGACATGAAGTGAAAACTGGCGGATTAAGCCAATTGGTTGTTGGCTTGGGTGAAATCGAACAAAACTTTCGTCTTTACTTCGCCAGAGATGGTCAGATAAAGAATGCATACTTTACAAAAGAAGCCCCAAATACGATAAGCCCGAAATTGATGACTTGGCTCTTCCTTTCTACTTCTGACGATGCTTGTCCCGTGGCAGACAAAAATTGTTCGCCCGGATTCCTCGGAGTTGCAGGAGGGTGAGCCGAAGACTTATTGACACAATCCAGACAATAATCCGCTTCGGTTGCTGGTGGGGCTATTTCACAAATTGTTTGCAACTGAATTGTTCTTTTCATATTGAAATTCATGTGAAAAGTCAATCGCGATAATATGATTTTGATGCCAAGTTGTTGGTTGCTGGCTGAAGTGGACGACCGAAAGTGGGACAAGCTTGGTGAGTTAAGGCAAGAAGCAAAAATGTCGACATGTCATGTATCCTAAAACAACTAAACTGATCAAGCTTGAGGAGAGACCGTGTGTCAACTTTTGAATTGGCTGACGTAGTGAAATTAGATGAAATCTCTTTACGTCCCTTCTTTAATAAGATAAACTTGATGTCATCAACTCGCTACTAATGCATGTTGCTGTATCTATTCGTTCGTGGCAAAAGGTGGATGCAGAAAACTTCTAACTTGGCCTCATCAGAATTCAACATACTTTCAGCTTATGCGGAAAATCCCTTATAATAATAATAATAATAATATTAATAATAATAATAATAATAATAATAATAATAATAATAATAATAATAA